TGACATCCAGCTGTTGCTCGGTATCTATGAGCACGGCTTTGGCAACTGGGATCTGATCAAGACGGATTCTGACCTTAAACTCGCTGACAAGGCAAATTTCTCATTTCTACTTTTATTACCAGGTTTGAGTAAGGAATGAGTAAAAAAAAAAAAAAAAATGGAACATTTTTACCACACACTCGACTTAAATGAATGCATTATTTTTGTACTTTTAAAACAAAACAGTCCCCTTTCAAAATTGTAAAAGCTTTTAACATGTCAAGTTCAGAATGTTTAGAAGGCAGCTAGAACTCTCGATTGGTCTCATTTGCAGTTGATCGGCACCCGTTCTAATCGGTCCGGCCTTTTCCCCTCCCTTTGCACAGATTCTCCCGGACGACCCGTGCAAGAAGCCTCAGGCCAAGCAGCTGCAGGCGAGAGCCGAGTATCTTCTCAAGATGTTGAAAAAAGAGCAGGATGCCACGGACCTGTCTAAAACAGGGGAGGAGGTACGTCGCCGCTCTCACCGCATGTTTGCCTTTCCCCCTACCGGCGACACAGCTTATGCAGTCTGTTCCTCCCAAAAGGTCAAAGTGAGGAAGAGGAAGCCTCGGGTGAAAAAGGACAACAAGATTCTCAAGGACGAGCAAGGCAACGACGTCTCCTCCCCCCGCCTGTCCGACAACCCGTCAGAAGAGGGCGAGGTCAAGGTCAGTGTTCCCAGCTGGTCTGTACGCTTAGTTCTGATTCCACTCATTTGATTCTGTGATGCACCGAAGCTATTTGTACTCCGGAGCTTGTCATTTTGCGCGGGGGGGAGTATAAATGACCTGTCAGACTGTAAAACCGTTCTTGTGAACTACAAAGTGACCACTTTTCAGCTTTGCTTTTAGACGAGCAGAGCAACGCTACACTCGATCACATGCTCCTTGTGCTTTCTCGTAGCACGACCTGCTGTTATTTTGTTTAACGTTCACTGTTTTTTGCAGGATGATGGAACAGAGAAATCCCCCGCCAAGAAACGACAAAAGAAAAAGGACAACAAAGAGAACAAAGAAAAACAGGGAACTCCTAAAAAGGAAAAGGACGGGGACAAAGACAAAAAGGGAGCCAAGCCCAGGAAAGAAAAGGTATTCATGCCCTCGTCATGTGGGGGTCTCAGATTTACTTTGACATGCGGCTGTAATAGTGTTTTTAATGCTGCCCTTTATCACATTGAAATGCGAGATGTAGCTCAAGGATCACGGCTATGAAGCCTGTCAGCCTCCTGTGAACAATCTGATGGCGGTGTGATTTTCACTGGTGGGTTTATTGTCTTTGTTTCTCCCGTTTGTTCTCTTCCAGGCTAAAGGAGCTAAAGGAAAGAAGACTCAAGGTCCAGTCCACATAACGGCCGGCTCCGACCCCATTCCCATTGAAGGGAAGGAGGACGATGGACTTGACCAGGACACTTTCAGTGTTGTAAGTCTCTTTTTCACTTTCTCTGCAAAAATTGAGTCGGCAAGATTTGATACGAGTTTGCGAGCACTGCAATACAATAACGAAAGCGATTTACACGTGTGTGTGTGTGTGTGTGTGTGTGTGTGTGTAGTGTAAGGAGCGCATGAGACCGGTCAAAAAGGCCCTGAAGCAGCTGGATAAACCAGACGAGGGTCTGTCTGACCAGGAGCAGCTCCAGCACACCCGCACATGCCTGCTGAAGATTGGAGACCGAATCACAGAGTGCCTTAAAGCCTACGCTGACCCGGAGCTTGTTAAGATATGGCGCAGGTAAGCGGATTAATCCTTGTTGCCTTTTTGTTGTGTAGTGAATCCGGGTGCTCACCTGTTTTTAACCCGGCTCGTGAATGCTTCTCTCCCTTTGGTCAGAAACCTCTGGATATTTGTGTCCAAGTTCACAGAGTTTGGTGCCAGGAAGCTTCACAAGCTTTACAAAATGGCACAGAAGAAGCGATCACACGAGGAAGAGGCAAGCGGCTCCCTCTTTTTTTTTTTTTTTTTTTCAAAGAAGTGATGGGAGGTCATTTGTCCAACCCTTAACATATATCCTGTTGTGTTTGCAGAAGGAGCAGAAGAAGAAGGAGGATTCTGGAGGGAGGGGGAAAAACTTCCGACCCGAGCCCTGCGGCTCCAGTAGAGACTCCACGGGGACCCAGTCGTCCTCCAAACCCGGGTCGCACTCCTCGCAGACAGGCCCCCACGGACACCACAGAGAGCCGTACAACTCTGCTAACAAGCGGCACTTTGGCAACGACGGTACGTGAGGAGAGGATCGCGTTCGTTCAAGTCAAAGGAAATGGAAGAAGAGAACAACTCGTGAGCTTTAGAGTTGCGAGCTGTTTTCTAATGTTACCGGTCTCGATGCTAAGCTAAGCTAATCCTTCAGCGTACAGACACCAAAGTGGTATCATTCTTATTTATCTCTTTTTCTCCCCACCCCCATCGTTACAGATAGAGGAGAGTGGCAGAGGGAGCGTAAATACAACTACCCAAGCAACAGCAACCAGTCGTGGCAGGGCGAGCGGCACCACGCGTACGATCGCTACAAGGACCACTATGGGGACCGACGGCCGCACGGAGATTCGTACCGCAGCTCGGGCAGTTACCGCAGCAACAGCTCCCCTCGAAAAAGGACCTACGAGCAGTACAGCAACGACCGGGACGACCGGGACCACCGGGGCCACAGGCCCTATTATGACAGGTGAGCGGAACTCTGGTGGCACGTTTCAGCGCAGCGTTGTTTCGTCCCGTCCCAACGGTTTGAAAATGAAACCAATGCCGTGAATGTGATCCGCAGGAACTCTGATCCCAAGAGGAGGCGTCCCGATGAGTTCCGTCCCAACTACCACCAGGGCAGAGAAGGCCCTCTGCAGGACTTCAGGAGGATGCCGGAGCAGAGGCCGACCGGCCCGGCCGGGCCAGAGCACTACAGCCGTCCCTTCAACCCGGACAAACCCCCCCCGCCGCTGGACCCCCGCTCCCCGCAAGCGCAGAAGTCCCCGCAGGAATCGCGCTCGCCACCGGAGCGGCCCGCGGACCCAAACGCCGCGGCCGACCCCAACTGGAGCAACAGGAAAACATGAAACAGGACGCCGGGTGCTTCCCGACGGAGCCTGGACCCGACCGATCACAAGCTCACAGTCTGAGACGGGACGAACATGCGCCCTCCTGGCCAGCAGAACTAACGCCGCTCGTTTCCCCTCAGTGACGCCGGCTGGGAATGATGTTTGTTTGTCCGCCGTCTTGAAGATGGAGGAAGGAAAAAAAAGATTCAAAAACAAGCATCTTTATTTAAACAAATTGACTCGAATCAGTCAACCATGGTTGGACTGAGTGAAGGATGCTTAGTCCTGTGGACTAATTCTAAGGAGGATTTAGGATGCGTGAACTGATGACTGATCTCAATCCTAAAAGTGCCTGAAGGCTTTGACCTTTCTGAATGGTAAATGTTGGGATCCCTCCCAGAGGAATCGCGACATGGACATTTATTATTTTGTGTTTAGCTTTAAGTATTGCCACTTGTCATCAGAAGATTCTGTTGTGAGCGGCTGTGTTCGTCATCATCCGCACCGTGTACATGTAGCTGAACTGAATCCCCACGAGGGCTCCAACGGTGACTCGGCGGCATCGTTCTTGAGAGATTTGAATGAGCAAAAGAAGCCAGTACGTTTCCTTCGAACACTCTACGAGTTGTTCGGAAACTGTTTTTAGCAGACTCGCATCTCTTGTGTACAAAATGATCGTTTCTGACTTTGTGTAGCTATATAAATCATGGCGATCCTCTTGCTCGGTTCACTTTAACCACTTTCTCCTCTTAGTAGGTCCAATGAAATGGAAGCTTTGTAAGCAGTATTTATTGCAACAGGTTGTGCAAAGGCTGATGACACTATAACTCGGGACAATCCTTTCTTTTTCTTGCCTTTCAGTGTTCTGGTGGCCATGGATGGTACTTCACTGTAGTTTCATTCATTCATCTTTCCACCTACAGTATGTAAGTTCTCGATGACGTCTGAAAATACTTTGTGATAACTTTTCTTTCATCTATTGTTTGGTAATGCTGTTGTTTGAGGGTCATCAGGGATTTGTTGGTGACATTTCCTTTGTTTATTTCCTTCTGGTCACGCTTTTATTGTGCCAAACCTGCGCTGGCCCTCATTCGTTTTTTTTTTGTTTTTTTATGCTTCTCCATTTGTGCCTTATTTATGTGTGTATTATCATACTGTATATTTTTCATGGACAGTACTTGGGCCTGATACAGGCAGGGTTTAGTATTAGAGTCTCATTTGAAGGAAATTGCTCTAAACAAACTGGGAGGAGACCCCTTATTCTGGTTGTAGTTCTGTGGTTTCCAAAAGTGTTGATTAAACTAAAGAAGCCCTGTTTGGTTCCAGCCACCGCATCTTTCCCCCCCCCCACGTTAAGGTTGATGCTGTTCCTGTATCATTCATGCTTTAAGAAAGTCTAATTTCTGTCAACCACTCTTCATATGTAATAAACTTTGTTACACACTGAATGGATCTCGTTTAATTTCCTCATGGCTGATATTCCTCTCTGAAAAGATCTGCCAGGTTGTGATAAGTTGCAGAATTGATTCATACAATGAAGTAATGTATTGAATAGTTTTCACACATGAGGGATAAAATAAAGGAATTATTTTAAAGCCAAGTAATAAAACTGAATTAAGGAAATTGATGATTTACGTTATGAGTTCTAGTAAGCATTGATTAGCATTTTAGATTTCCATAAAAACGTTCGCTATGTCCTTGTTTAACGTGTATGGATAACTGCATATATTGATGTCAACATAATGTGGTTATTGTATAATCATTATGGACTTAATACATTTGTCTGCACTAAAGTGTCAGTTTAAGTTAATTTATCTACAATCTTCAGCCTAATAGATCAGATTATAAAATCAATCAACGTCTTACCACAAACATTTGTTCTCATCCAGCGCCACATCTCTGCAGCAGGGGGCAGTGGAACACTGCACATTATTACAACAGAAACAAGACACCTGATTAAACAAGACATTTTCTTTTATTCAATAAATAATTTACATTATAAACAGCTGGCGTGTGGCACCACATTCACTTTACATACAAACAGCTTGATCTTTCTGGCATTTTCAGTAATTTGAAAACTCTTTTCTACCATTACAAGTCTGAGAGAAATTCAAATGAAATAAGAGCTAAATGGAAAAGAAAACATAAAGTGCTTTAAACTCAAAAACCTGAACACCCCATGAATATGCATTTAGCTTCTTTCTTTTTTCCCTTCTTAAATGTAAAGTGATGACAACCAGCATTTTATCACTTCATCCGTAACTACTAGGCGGGTAAACTGGATGAAGTAAAGAATATTTTGCCCTGTGGTGTTCATGTTTTTGCAAGAAAATCCCTTTTTAAATAAAAAAATTAAAAGAAAATGTTCACATTCACCGAAACATCTGATGTACAAAACGAGTGATTAATTCCAAACACAACAAAATACAAATTCCAACTCACAAAACGTATGTACAACCTCACATTTCAAATGTAGAACTATATACTGTAAATCTCACAACACAATCTATTAACACAAGATTCCACATTACAATCATTTGTTTTGTGTGAGCTTTTTTGTTGTTGTTGTCAAACTGCACCATAACGTGTTCCTAATAGCAGCAGTAAGGTCTGCCAAACACTTCAGTGTAGAGGATGAATGACGTTGAAACGCTGTCACAGTAGTGCCTGTATCTGCACCGGGGACTCGTGGCACCAGAGTGGCCAACGGAAACGCTTTGGGGACACACGAGAAAAGCAAAAAAAAAAAAAAAAGGTGCGACTGCTAAAACCCAAACTACTGCTGCTGCTCAGACGTTGGCACGAGGGGGGGGAGGGTGGGGGACACGGAAAACACTGTCAGGTCTACGAAAATGCTCAACCTGCTGGAGAGGGACGTCTTTACAGCGAACACCAACAGCATCCACACCACAGACTCCGAATCCAGAGTTAAATTCACAAAATGCCGCCCGAGGGGTGTTGGGGTGTGACGGTGTGACGGGTCGCTGTACATCCTGTGAACGCCGCGTGCACAATAAAGGTACATCAAGCAACATTCACATTACAGACCTAGAAATACAAAACACGGCCTGAACAACGGTGTGATGGTCTGGAAGACACAGAAAAGAGATTTGTATTATTATTATCATCATCTTTTTTTTTTTTGGAACTCTCTACTTGGCAGACCGAGGCCGTATTCACCGAGCGCCTCGTCTTTTCAATTTTAGAAATTTGGGGTTCTATAGACATGGGAATAATGTCTTCTGGAACCGCACAATGCACATAATTAACCACAGATGCTTCGGCACACATATTTTACTAATGCACACTCTCTCTCTCACACACACACACACACACACACACACACACACACACACACACACAATTATATTACAATATGACCCATTAATCTCCGCAGCAGACGACTGGAGACGCTGCTCTGACATAGTTTTGGCTGAGTGCTTCCTCCAAAAAGGCTCGGGCCTTTTCCAAAGCTGGAAACTAATCAAACATGGAGCAGCTTCTGGCTTTAGGTTAACAAAAGCCCCTGTCAGGTCCTCTCGCTCTGCCACATGAGCCTGGGAGAGCTCCACTGGCTCGGCACCAATGGGTGGATCAGCAGAGGGAGGATCAGCGAACTTCTGTCTGCAAAAGATCATCTCGTGCGGCTTCCACTAGACACGCAGGCCCGGTGAGAATGTGGGACTTAATCCGGGAGGTGGACATCCTGAGCTCGGGAGAAGCCTCGGCTCTCTCACCGCCGCTGTCATCAAAGACCCGTCCGTATGAACCAGCTAAACACATGTGATGATGGGTGGGAGTACGGCGACCTCCTCCTCGTCATTGCGCAGGAGTCAACACATCGGGATGAGCCTCGGGGGAGAGGGGGAGGGGGGGGAGGACCCTGACTTGGCGAGCCATCAGAAGCCGGAGGAGACGAGGAGGGCGACACGGCGACGGTACTCTAACAACTCACTGACGAAAACACCATGAAGATACTGCCGTAACGCGGCCATGGACCAACTGTTCAGCATTCAACCCACAGGAGGACGGCCAGGACGCTGAGGAGGAGGAGGAGAAGTGGGAGAAACCCGTCGCCCCCCCGGCCTGCGTTGCTCATCAAAGCGTCCTTTTCAAAGATGTGGTATCTCTTGCTGTTGGAGTGGAGCATTTTTACATCCTCAAAGGCGTAGTAGGCCGCCATGGTGAAGTTTATGTCTCCGGAGGAGAGCAGGTCGAACACGCAGGAATGAAAGTACAGGTCCTCCACCGGGAGCCGCTCCTTGCACTTGGCCTTGGCGGACTGATAGGTGAAGCCGCGCGGCGCCCCCTCGCCGCCCCTGGCCCGGCCCGCGCCGTGGGCCTCCGCCGCTCGGGCCTTGAGGTTGCGGAAGTCGATGCGCTGGTTGGCCGGGCAACCGTGGAGACACAGGTACAGGTCCTGGTCGTCGTCGCCCTCCTCCACCGAGTTCACCACCTCCTCCGGCATCCGCACGGCAAAGGTCAGGTAACGGCCCACCTGCCGCACCACTATGGTCGTTCCGATGTACCGGGCCTGAATCTCCACGTGCTGCCCGGGAACCTTCTCCACCACCCGCAGAGTGTTCGCTCCGTGCCGGTCACCTCCGTTCTTGGAGCCGTCCGCGAACGCAGCCGGCAGCTCGTCCGTCTCCGCGTGGTACATCTTCTGGTCCACGCATTCCTGGAAGTTCTTGAAGATGATGGTCAGCTGCGAGAGAACCAGACCCAAATAAAGAAGACGTTTTCAGCACGGATATTCATGCGTGTTTGCCTTTCTTATGAATGTAGGTATGTAGACGTTGGTGGCTGAAATCCCAGCAAAGTGCAGTCAATGCAAACATCAGACTTTTTTTCCCCTTTTTAAACTGAAATGCTTAGAAATGTGCGCTATATGAGCCACCCGCCCCGCTTAAGAGTCCTATTTCAGCAACTGGCTCAGCGAGGTGGAGGCAAAGGTAAAAAAAAAAAAAAACACACACGGTCTCGGGCCATGTAAAATCAGGCCTCAGTCTGCAGACACAAAGACGGTCCATTCATGGCGCTGAGAAACCTGCGGGTGAACCCCCAGAACTATGCTGCGGGGGGGTGAGGGGGGGGGGGGGGGGGGGGCCTCCGGCCCCGACAAAACAATACCCTCAACAGCTAATTAAGGGAGACTGCCCAGACCTCCCCAAGCCGGGTTCCACCAGGACACCAATGAGCCATTGTCAGAGGGGCGATGCCAGGAGAGCCGAGGGACTGATGTCCGCTGGCTTGTGACCAAGGAGGGGGGGGGAGGTCGGAGGGGAGGGGGGAGGGTCATACAGAATACGCAAATAGCTTGACAATTTATCTGTTGTACCAATTCAGTCTCAACAACCCCCCCTCGGGTAGGATTCCTTCCTAAAAACGGTCGGACACAGCTCTGCTATGTCAGACCTTCTAGCAGAGGGGGTCTTGTTTGCACAGGTGGCGTTCGCGTCAGAGATGTTTTCCCTTTGTCCAGAATAAAAGACAGTTGTCTCATTTGCTTCCAAGAAAAGCATTAAAAAGCTTTAAGCTTACAAATACTTAATTAGGGTATCATTAAGAAACCGTAATTGCAGATAATTATGCTCACTACAAATGTACCGGAGGACAAAATGCTCCCGCTGTACGATCGGACTAAATACCTCCGTTACGAGGCCGTGCAAAGTGGCCGAGCTCTTAATCATTGCCGTTGAAACTTTGCCAAAGCTGGAAGAGCGCCGAGTGCAAATACTCCTACTTCTCTGCTTTGACCTCAAAGTTCTACTGAAAGTCATTTCAGGGGCAGAAATCCCAACGGACCCAATGCGCCATTTAGCAAAACAACAATTAACGAGGAATGCACGGTTAATACGGCTATGAAAGGAAATCGATTAGAATTTGACTGTAGTTCAGTGCAGACGCAACCCGTCCTAATTTAATGAGCTCAGTGGGACGCAGACTGGAAGCAGGGCAAACATCAGCGCGAGCTGGAAGAAGCCTCGTGTCAACATTTAATGCAGCACTGCTGTTGTAATACGAACATATCATTTATAAAGCTTATCAGGATCTTGGAGCCAGGTTCGGATTCAGTATCTGTCAAAGTGGAGCTCATCCAAACACTAACCAGAGTCCACGGTTTGACAGAGAAGCCGAAACAGACCACGTAAAAGGAGACTCATTCGAACCAAAATATGAAAAAGTAAGAAGATCTGTTGCAACAAACACTTAATGTCAATGCATCAAAGCGCAACTACAATCTACATTAGCCCGGATTTTAGTTTTTTGACTGACCAACAGTAAAAATTCAATGTAAAACAACAATAAATCAATATTCCCATCAGAGGAGCCAGAACCAATCAGATGAGTCGGTAAATGAAAATACTGGTTAGATGCAGCTCCGGGTTAATTCAGTTACTTTTTTGCCTGCAGGACGAAAAGAAAAAGGACCCCCACCTTGCTCGTGGCGGTGGCCAAGGAGCCCGGCACCACGGGAGTGTTGGTCACCTGGACCGACAGGTACTTGTTGTGGATGAGCGGCCAGGCCCCCTCCACCTTACACGTCTGGAAGTCATCCCCGAACGTCCGCAGGTGGGGGTCCCCGAAGAAGCCGCAGTGGGTGTAGTTGGGCGGCGCCGTGTTGCGGCTGAGGCTGCGCTCGTAGTGGCACACCTCCGGCCCGTCCGAGCGCTCCTGGCTGTCGGGCTGCTGCTGCTGCGGCGGCGGCGGCGGCAGCAGCGGCGGGGGGGGAGGGGTGTGGGCGCGGGGCTGGGACGTGGGCCCCTCCCGGGAGCAGTTGTGTTGGCTCATCAGATCCTCGATGCCATGCTGGGCCGAGTGGAACACCAGGTCCCCCTGCAAGTCCGGGCAGTGCGGCGCACGCAGCCGTTGTACACCCGCAGCGCCGTGCAAAACTCCTCCTCAGGACCAGAGCTTGAGGTGGAGGCCCAGATTGGGAGTTACACAGGAGTATCTTGCACTGCAGGCTCGCTGTCGTGGGGGGGGGGGAGAGGGCGGCTACAGGTCATTTAGAAACTTGGCTGCTGTTGATGATAGTTTAAAAGCGGAGATTTAAATAATGGAGTCTTTAAAACAAGAATAAACATTCACAGCCGTTGTGGTGAAGGCCGCAGTGAAAAGTTGTAAACCACAAATAAAACGTATTTTGATTATAACAAAGTAGGAACTTTTCTTCACATTTTATTCACACACATATGGCAGAAACGGGAAGGAAAATAAATGCCCCCATTCTATAGGTTTGAACTTTTCACATCATAGAGCATTTCTTTGTTCAGGTAGTGAACACGACACACTATGGCAAACTTTTGACACCTATTGGCGATTGCTTAGTACAAAAGTAAAAATGGCCCTTTGTGAATCCTTATCCACACCTTTAGTGACAGAAAACACAACTGATGGGAGATTGATGTGTCCGAGCTTTATTGTGCCTTGTTGTCACGCAGTGTTTGACTAGAATTACTTTGACTAATAAAGAATTGATTTGAATTAGCTGTAAGAAGTTTCACAAACGGTCTCAAAGTGGGGAAAAGCCATATCGACACTTTGAAGTAATACTTTACTCCAACCCAGCGGCCATTCGATAGGAGGCAATAAACTAATCTCAATCTCAACAGTTAGTGCATTATCACTTCGTTGTTTGATTTAAGAGGGAAACTGATAAGAGTTTGAAGAACACGCAATGTGAGCTGAAAAAAAAAACGTGTCCCCACTGCAAAAAGTGACCGACGGCAATGGTCAAATTATTATTAAGCATATTGAGTTGATATAAAACGCAAAAGTGTCTAATGTAATGCTACATTTTCGCTACAATAGTTCACGGGGTCCGTTAAAGATATTCTCAATAAATCACAACCCATGAAAGTAGGATTTCCAGCCTAATTTAAAGTCAAGGAGCCGCTGCAAACTGCCGAGATGTTCACCATCCCCCAAACACAGAAGGAGTTGGCGGCTCCAAAATGAGACGTCTCACTTTGTTTCCTATTTCTCGGATAAAAATAAAGGGAAAACAAGTTGCTCTAAGTACTCAAATGTTGTGCTGCGTGGTCGTTTCCTTTCCCGCATGTTGCAATATCACAACACGTGAACCTTTCACAGCCGCCTGCACGTAGTTTAAACACTTCGGCACAGATCGCGGTAATCTAGATTGCAGTGGATTATAATCAGTGTTTATTTGAGTTTGACTGGAACTCTAGGAGATATGTATACATATATCGATATTTTTTACATCGAATTGCGAAATTGAGCAAAATTTGTTTCGTTTTTGTTGCTGAAACTCAAGATGAATTATGATATTAGTTAAACATTACTGCTATAAATACTGACCGAACCTGGCAACCTATAGTGACCGAACCTGGCAACCTTTCTTCCCAAGGTGAAAAAAAAGTAGTTTGTCGCCTTTAAACCGGCCACGTAATGAGTTATAAAGTTTAAAATGTAACATTAACCAACGTTACTAACTTTAGGTCTACCTTTAAAAAAACAACAATAATAAAACTTTCGCTTTTAAACTTGAAAGTGAAAAAGTCGCATCTTACCGGAGGGGAAGAGCGAGAGAAACACCGCCAGGACTCTGCACACGTCAAGCGCCGAGGGTCTCCCTCTTTCCCCCATAACCATCCATCCAGCTCGGGGTCGCGCTTCGCTCCTCTCCCTGGTCCACCCGGGTGAAGGAAGGGCAGAGGAGAAGAGTTAGAGCCCCCGGGTCCCCCGTTCACAAAAACCCACAAACCAAGTCCCCGAAAGAGGTCCGCGGTGCCGTCATCTCACCAGCAGCCTGTTGAGGAGTGAGAAGTGTCGTCTCCCCCCCTCTCTCTCTCTTTTTCTCCCCCCTCTCTCTCTCTTTCTCTCTTTGTCTCCCCCCTCTCTCTCTCCACCTCGCTTGGCCACTCGGTGCGGGACGGCCGGGCTGGAGGCAGCCAGGCAATCCGTCTTCCCTTTTAGGGAGTGTCGAGGAGGGGAGCAGCCTCCGTGGGCCGCAGGACACGCGGAACCAATCACGTGCTGCCTGCTTCTGCCCCTACATTAAACTTTTTTTTTTTTTTAAAAGCCCCAATACCCCTCAGCCAGACTCGGGTTACAAGCCAACGACCCGCCAGGTGCCGACACCACGAGGCACTAATACGACAGGTCCGACGTCAGAACGACCACGTGCGATGTAAGCAAGCGTCCCATTAATCGTCACAGAGCGGATCTGATGTTACTTTTGTGCTTAAAATGGTGTCTGCGAGCCAAGTTGTTCTTTTCAACTCCACAGAGGTCGACTCGTTCACACCCAAACATCCCAAACAACATTTATTTGACCTTCCAGTGGAGATACTACAGGTTCAGAAGATTCATTCAATCTGGCTGATGTTGGATTAATTAAAGACAAATTGATGGACAAGAAACTGAGAATATTCCCATTTGATGAAACGGAGAAGCCAAAAAACTCACAACTGTAGATTTCACCAAGGGAAACACATATGGAATTTGATCAAGGTTTATTATATGTATGTATACTATCGTTTCACTAACGATGAAACTGCTTTCTGTTTTATTGATTATTTATGGGTTTACATCATAACATTTGAGACGATTGTGAAGAGTGGCCATCACAATTTCCCAAAACTGCCAACACATGGTTCACCCTGACAGCCGTACTAAACCCAAAGATTTCTAAATGAAATACAAAACCACAAATCAAAGTGTCTGACAGGGTGCAACAACAGATTGCTGATTAACCAACCGTCAATACAGTTGCATGTCAATTTTCTGTTGTTTGACAAATGTATTAATTGCCAACAGTTTCATCGCTTCAGACGTACAAACGTCAAAGGCAAGAATGAAAGAAAGCGCAATTCCAATCCATCTGGCATTTAAAAAAAAAAAGAAACATTGTTAATTATGGCTTTAATTATTTGATTGTGACATTTGGTTGTTAAATTCCTGCAAAAACACCAAGAATATGAGCAGTTTGTTCTCACCGATCGCTACAGAGTTGGAAAGGACATTGTACTCCTTGCTGATGGCAATATTTAACTTGCAAAACAAACCGCGATGCCTCGCCTTAGTTCAAACGGCACATGAAGCAATCAAAGCCGTTACCGCAGTGCACGCAGGTCGACACATCAGCAACGAAGAATGCAGGACGTCTAATAGAGTGGGCCTATTTAATGCACGCTAAAGGACTTGAATACATTCCAACAAGGAGCAGGCTGTGACCCCCCGTCCTCTAAAAGGCGTGACACCACCTTCTTTGATTGCCTTGTCTAAAAGACACATCACTGCAGTCTTTCACTGCCGTTTGTAGCAAAATAACAGCATGCACACAGGTGGACGCACACTCAGGTCATGGCTGGCTGTACAGTATTTTTCCACCGTGCGGCGAACGTCTCTGTGAATGCTTGCTGTCCCTCTCGTGGATGATGGATACGTTCCTGCACAATGAGGTCTGAGCCTACACACGTTTTCAACAAGGGTGGCCCCGTGCAGACCGATGCGCCGTGCTTTCACATCTGAAGCGTACCGCTGAGACTGTGAGGCGTGAGCTTGCACCGCTTTGGCGGCTTTTAGCAGCGACCGTGTAGATGTAGGGTTAGGGTTAGGGTTAATGTGACTGATTTGCAGGTTTGTGGATTGTTTCCATAAGATCTGGAAAGTAGATGGTGCAGATATCAGATTTGAAACCTGTTGCAGCAACGGTGTCCGTTCATTACGTACTGAAGAGATGTGGATTGTCGTCTAGTTGATAAATAATCTTTAGCCGATTTACAATAAGCTAATACTTAGTGGTCATGCATTTCTGATAACACAATAGTTGTATAGGAATAGGAATGAGATATTTAGAGATTCTTGTGCATGACAGTGATCTTTTGTTTATTGATTACAACTTATTTTGACGTCTACAATCCATTTATTCATTTAGCACCTACACATTCCTTATTCTGTATGAAATATCAGATTTTAACTACAGTCTATTAGTAGATTAGTCAATTGTCAACTATCTCGATGGCAAAAATGTCAACCACCCCGTGGTCTCAGCTTGGCAAATGCAAAGATTCACTAATATTCTCAATCAATGTCTTTGTGGTTTGGTCTTTTCGTTCGGAGTATAGAAGCAATATGAATCCCTCATCTTGAGCTCTGACAAATTGTGATACCATATCTGACCCATCTTCTGGAATTCTAATTGACTTAATAATTAAATCAATAGTGCAAGTAATGGTTCTCTGCAGCCTGCCGCCCTAATTCTCTTCACAAAGGCTCATTTGATCAACTTGACTACAGCACCAATTTAAACCGAGGTGGCGTTTCCTCTCTCTTTTCCCTTCAAGCGGTTGCTATCGGCTGTATTTTGTTCTTTGGATGATAGTTTTAGTGTTTGATCGATCAAGCGATTGTTTGATTGGTAATTCATTAAATGAGTTTTATTCAAAATATAATATTTTTTAAATAGCATATGTTGCCACAGGGATTTCCAAAGACGCCTCATGCAGATCTTGTGCTTCTCGTGCTGTAAAGGTGACTGATAATTGAACGATAACACGTTCAGTTAATCCAGTGGATGTAATACAATCACGTTTAATGGTGTGCTTTAAATCTCTGTTATCACCAGTCACCCCGCTTTTAAATGTTCATACACTGAATATAGTGTATTCCAAGTGCTTTTGGTGCAGCGATTCGTCGCCTCTTTAGTGTTGAATTGTGCACTACATTTGTTTATAGGCATCTGTGTTGATGGTCACAGCGGACTGATCCCCGTTTCCAACAGATGGCGCTTGTTAGGAGCTCCGATATGAAACCTCAAATCATGGCACAAGCGCACATGGCATAACGAGGACATGCCAGACCTGTCATTAAATGAGCTCCTTTGCGCAGCTCGTTTATTGGTCTAATTGCGTGCTGCCGTGCGTAAGTTTGGGGGGGGGGGTTGAAAGGTGTAAATCTGCAGGCACGCAGAAGGAGATCATTCATTCGGTGTCAGATAGAAGTCCAGCCTCTAATGCTATTTCTGCCGCATACTTCAATATTTAAAAAAAGGCACGAGCTGGTGGATGCGGGGTTCATGCGTAATGCGTAATAAGTGAAACTTGTTGTTAATATTAAAGAACTCAATCCCCCCCTGGTCGCATATGAACATCTGCATGTCCTCGGACACGGAGACACCGTTTTAAAGCCCCACCCCGACAAGACGCCCTGCGTGAAATACACTGATTATATTGGTTCAAATGATCAAACTAAAGGGGAACCAACCTTGGCGACTGCATGGGCTCTCCACGACTCTGGAGTCCTGCAGGAACCCGGAGGACAGCGAACAGGGGCGAGAGGAGGGGGGAGAGCGAGAGGGAGGGAGACGACTCCTAAGAAATCTCCCCCTTTCAAAAAACGACTCGTCCGGTGTGTCCCTGTAATCCCAAATCAAACGCCCTCGGCTTCTCTCTGAGTGTTGAATCCGCAAATCTGGGCATGATGTCCGCCGATCTTCTTCTCGGTGAAATTAAAGTGTTTTTTTTGTTTGTTTTCTCTTTAGTTGGGATTCATTTTTATAAAAAAAGAAAGAAAAAAAGACACTTCTCGCACCCGAAGGAGGACTCAGATACCTTCAGCCATCGCGTAACTCATCTGACTATCGGTCGATCGGAAAGGTGGCAATTCAAGTCCAATAATTGCCAGCCAATCTGCGCGTTGAATCCAAATGGTTAGTTATGCTCCACGTCAGGGAGAGAAAAAAGAAAAAGCCCCGAGGGCGAAGCTGCTGCTGCTGCTGCAGCGTGCGGCCGATCTGCTGTCTGGATGTTGTGAAATGGCTCGTTAGAAAGTGTGAGAGAGACAATGATCGCCTCTGCGTGACGCCGCTGTGAGCCCCACATCTCAGCTGTGGACCCCCACCCCCCACTTTTCTCCTCCAAGTTGTTTCCTCTGTGGGAGATGGGAATCCTTCTAGGGTCGAAAAATAGTGAGTTGTACAATGTTAGTTTCTGTTGAAGCAGAAAAAGTAGATCCGTGTAATCTCTGTTTCCACTTTCCTTCAAAGGTCACATGTGCCCTGTTTTCACCTTTTTGACAAAGTAGGGCAATTAATCCTGGACTGAACGACTACTTCATTTACACCTGGCTTTATAATTTAGTGTTTATGTGTGAATGCCCCCCCACATGGCTATAGATCCAGCCCCTCAGTAGATAACCTTTAGCAGACCCTCAACTCTGCAAATCACAGGTTGGAAAAAGACAAATCCATAATAATCAGGATTTAAGGAAGATCAGATGGACAAACACACGCATCACGCAGGAGGGAGGAGGGGGGGGGGGGGGGGGGCCCTTCCCAAAAGGAAAGGGGGGTGCCGGGGGGGGGGCCCCTTTTTTTTAAATTTGGCCCCCCGCGGGAAAATCCCCCCCCCCCCTTTTTCCCCCTCCTTTTCCCCTTTAAAAAAAAAATGTTTTTTTTTTTTCCCGTTTCCCCAAAAACCCCCCGCCCCGGGCCCCCAAGCCCCGGGGGGGCCCCTTCCGGTTTTTTTACTTTTCCCGGGGGGGCCCCTTTGACCCATTAAAAGAAAAAAGCCCAAAAATTTTGAAAAATCCCCCCCCCCCCCCCCCCCCCCCGCGTGATGTTGGCACAGAGCCGTCGCATCACATCGTCCAGCAAGAAAGAGACTGACCCCTGTCATCCCCCCCCTCGGAGAAGGCTTCCAGAGGCCTCATCTCCAGCACACACATACCTCGCTGAGGTATTATGGCGAGTTAACAACAGATCTGCTTTACATGTCACCAGATTAGTCAAACACGTTTGTTCGCGCTGCCTGATCGCTTGGGTCTCTCTCCTTCATTTGCTTTTATTAGCAATAGTGATTTTGGTCAGATGAAAAAATAGTTTGAACTTGAACTTTAGTCATTGAACTCAAGTTTGCGGCACTCTTATATAAGAGATTTGACCGCAGCTGTTTGAGATTATAGACAGCATTATTGTGACAAAAAGAAGAGAAATACAGTATGTATAAATATGTATGGAAAAAAAGGAATACATTCTTCCTTTATTTTTAAACAATAGTATTCCCATATCATGTGGAGTAAATTAGATTAGACATTTATGTGAAATGTAAGAGCTCAAAACATTACGGCAATTCATTTGATGATCAAACCGTTTAATGTCTTTCCAATTTTAATCTTCAGACTTTCCGTATTTCTTTACCCTATTTGATAATGTTGTAATATAATAATGTGAGTATTTATGACATTTGATGACGGTTTCCAGTCATTTATAAACCAAAAAGTAAACCCCTTTAATGAGAAAATAATTGTGTTGAATCATATCCGCTGGTTACATCTTAAATAAAAGGAAGCACACTGAATTAGTTTTCCTCATAACAGCATCATAAGAGAATGCAAAGTAATTTAGCTTTAAAGGGATATTTTATATTTCTTCAGGCGGGGTTGTGTTGCCAATAAAGGTTGCGATATATGTTTAGATTTCAGACATGAATGATGTTACATTTTTTTAAATAAACTGTGTACTATACATACAAGCATTCAACCGCTGACATATCTGTGGCATAAAATACCGTACAGCTCATACAATGCTTGAAGGAGTTTTGTCTGTTCTGCCACGTTGGTTTTTAACAGGATTGCCAACAACTGCAGCAAATGCTAATGTCTACCTGCTGATTTGATCCTATTCTCATCATAATGTGCATGGCATAATATCCATTCATGTATAAGCCACGCATTGTGTACATGCTTATCCCCCCCGGTGTGGACAGTTGTATTACTCGGCGTGGTATTAAACACTGAATCATATCTTGCAGACCCCACTGAGTAGATCAAATATGACTTAACGGCCATTTTCATTGTTACAACTGTCCGGTTTAAATGGGGAAATACAGTGAATGAGTGAAAGTGTGTTCAGTGAGGATACAAACTAGTGGGGGAAGTGCGTCCCCCCCACCACAGTCTCAGTCACCACAAGAAATTCTATTAGGAGGTGATGTGTGGGGCTGCGATACTGAATTACTTCCACTGTCGGAAACAGTGTGAATGCTCGCACATCGGCCCGTCCGTGCACACAGAGGAATGGCCTCGAATGATCAAAGCCTCATTACACAATCTTTTCTCATTTGTCTTTCTCTTTTTTTTTTCTTCTTCTTCTTCTGTCTTTCTAAAGCCAGACAGCAACCCAGAAAGAATTATGCACACTGTTTAATTCCAGACGCGGACCGAACACGACACAGTGTGTGGAGACGGCGAGACAAATGATTAGCTCCGCTGCTAAACACAACACGTCTCAGGGAGAGACACAACATATCAAGCCAACGTGTTGGGCAGCCCCATTAGTGAATGAATAACTCATTTAGACACTGAATGATCAGAACAATTTATTGACCTGACGGGGTTAAAAAACAAATAAACAGAATGTTGGTGAGAAGCCATGATTCCATTAACATGCAGGAGTCGATACACGCTTGCAAGACAACTGGGGCTTATCTTAATAAAACAGCTGCTTTTTTAATTCCCTGCCTCTGAAATTCTGTGCAAAAAGTGAAAGACTCAGTTTATGAACAGAAAATGAGATTGTGTTTTTCTCCATACAGTGTGACACGCCTTTGCAGCTATTTCATTTATGGTAATTTACAACTAATCAGTCTTAGAAATAATAAGCATTTTTGCAATCAAGCATTCATTTTTATATACTGTCATGAAAACAATGTGGGTTTTTTTTTGGTGCGTTTTACACAGACAATGAAAATAGTTGCTCAAAAATTAGAGTTGGAAATGGCATTTGTCACATTTATTCTTCAGACTACTGACTGTATAGTGTTTGATTTGTCTATGTTAGGAAACCTTTTCTTCTCCCTCACAGCTCTATTAGCAGCTTTAAGTATCATTCTAATAGAAATATTAAGGAATTCTCTATAACTTCCTATCAGAACCGTTGTTTCCCCTCCGTTTCAACTCTTATCCATAAAATGACCCTCCACACTCCAAACAGCAAGCATTAACCAGCTGCAAGCACTAACAAGCTAGACAAAGTGTTGACTGATTTACAGTCTGCTATTTGTATCAAGGGCATTTTGTCAGCCAGTCAGAATTCTTCACATCTTTTTTGAGGCGGTTGAGCAACCAGAGTCCTGCAGTGTTGTCCTGTGTGCACAGCTGCAGGTCATGCCCTTCCTTTTGTCCCATCTTGTCACAATAGCTGCAGAGGAAAGCTCAAGTTTTTTGTCGTCGGCAGCGAAATTATCGGCTGCCCCGGAATCACTTTGCAGCCGTCACGCTCTGCTGATGGGGAGAAACGGGGATCGGGCTGTTTCTTTGAGCTGCAGAACCTGATGCACGGACTGTTTGCATCATATGAACACACTTTCAAAAACACCACACTGCTAAAATGTAATTCGATGCAATCTGAAATTGATTTCTAACCAGTAAATCTTCAGCGTTATACAACTCTTTGTCCGCAAGTTTTTCATCGTTTTATTTTAGCCCTGAGTGCTTCTACCCCTCCCTCCCTTAATTACTTAAACCAAACCCATTGACTGCCCCTACAACTCGCTCAACTCGCTCCATTTCACATTTTAATACGCTACTTCCTTTCAAATGTCCATTATTTCGAGCAAAGGTGATCTTTATTGCACTAGAAACTTTAGAGTCATTAATTCTGTTCTATATCTGTGCAGTGAAGTATTTCCTTTGCAACGTAAAGTGGCGGTCCTATTTTAGTTTTAAACAATTTTTACAGGTCATGCGCTCGGTAGAATTTTAAAACAATCTCTCCAAGAGCGTAATTGTATCCTCGACGGGTGGAGGGAAATGAATTTGAAAGTGCAAGGCAATAGAAAAAGATCATTTCCATGCTGAAATATTTATAGTCTCCTTAAAACTGTTGGAGAGTGGAACTCGATGGAGGCTGAAGGATGAAGAACAGATGAATCCGAAACTCATTAAGATGTCATGCTATCTCCTCTGCAGGCCAAACAGGAGCTATTGCCTCTTAAATGCTCCAAAACATTTGCAAACGCCTGTCGTATTGTCACCCGAGACGGCCGAGCCGCAGCGCTATTAAATGTCACACGTGTTTGTATCCCCGTGCAGCCTTGTAGTCCCCTTCATCTGTGTGAAGTGGTTCATTACTGAGCTGTGGAAATGTCAGGGCTTCGGGTTCAGATTAATTGAAGAGCCCGCGGACGTCTAATTACAGGAGAAAGACTTACAGATATCCCCGGCCCTCAGAGACAGTGGGCCTTCCCACCCCGGGGCTAAATTATGCTGTTATTGATCCTAATATGTAAAATGATCCTGTAATTTCTCTGTCTCGTTTGTAGCAGCAGCAGCAGGTTAATTGGATCAGACCCTGTAAAGGGGAGACAAAAAAAGGAAAACATTAGTGCTGAACGAGCTGTGAAGATATGACGTGTCGGGCCTCAGCTCGAGGATTGTGCCTCATGTGCAACGGTGTTATTTAGCAGTTGAATGGCCGCGGACCTGCACATTCCTCGTGGCTGTGACGGCCTCTGGTGTTTGGTCAGGTGTCTTTTATTGAAAAGTGGAATGGAGACGCAGGCTGTTTTTCAAACTGACGGCCCTCCACGGCGAGCGTCTCAAACTGCAGGGATCCACTGAAAAGTTGTGAGACAGGAGGAGACTCAAACCCGCCCTCGCCCTCCCCCAAAAATCCCAATACCAGAGCCAAAATAACATCAGTGAGTCATAGTTGCCTTCAGGCCGCGTTGACTTTATCTCCTCTGTCTCAACACGCAGGCTGGTCCTCTCACCAGTAACTTTAATTAAAGCTGGAGTAGGAGTCACCACATATTTAAACTCATCGTAATACGTCTGCATGA